TGCCGCACGATTTAGTAAATCGATCATTACAATGGAATGTACTACAAATATCTCCGAGTAGCATCAGTGACCAGTGATAGGCAAAAAGATCATGATCATTCATACGAAAGGGGAACACTGAGTCTCTGGAAGCGTCCGCTTTTTCGAAAACAACCTTTTCACAGGCAGACAGGCGAACAAAACCATCCTAAATAAAAAAACTTCCTACCTTTTCCTTTCCTTCTTCATTTCCTCCTTTAAAACCAACTTTCTTGCATATACTTAAAGATTCCGGAAGCGCTTACCTCATCTAATGTGAATTTAACCTAGAATCTCTACAGGCAGGGCACCAGTCGCCTTTGTCATATAGCCACTAGCTTTGGGAGCAGTGTAAATGAAAGCCTAGCAGGAGATGCAGAAAAGAAAGGCGATGATAGGGGGGAGGAGGATAAGGTAGAGGGAGAAAGTGCGTAATAAGTGATGGAGGCAGCGAAGAGCAAGAATTTGATGTGGCAGAAGTAGGAGCAAGTGCGTGACCCAAAGATGAGTTGGATAAGACGTTCTTAAGGAAGGACAGATAGGCCACAATTTGTGAGCATCCATGTATATTCGTCATTTGCATCCCTGTGCTTCCATCATTTCTGCTTTTATTATCTCCTCCTTTAACACTTTCGTTATGTTAATAAATCAAGCTTCCGGTGATTTGTAGATCTGACGAGCCAGAAGCAGAAACACAGCACGTCAATTGGCAGAGGTGCAAGTAGAAATGAAAACAGAAGAAGGAGCATCATAAGCTAAATCCGCGTCATCTCACCACTGCACAACTACTCTGTCAGTTGTTGAACAAGGTTCTTAACGAATTTGCACTTCCTGTATGTCTAAAAGGGAAAGCCATCCCATCTCATCTCTTTTTAATTAACTTCCATTTATCTTGTCTCTCACCTTTAGCGATTGTATTAGGGAAGCTCTATTCTCCGTGGAGCATATGAGGTACTGTGGTGTCTATTCTGCAGGTGCCTCTTCGGGCCATGAAGCAAGACTTAAGGGGTTAGCAGTGAGAAGGTAACAGAGAAGAGTGATAAACACGGAGTAAAAAGTGGTAGTAGGTCATAGCATTCCAATGTTCGAGATACATGGGGCACGTTCAACGCAAAGAAAAGGTAATATTGCCTTGAGCAAACCTATAATTAAATGTTTAGGCTGATAGGAGGAAGCTGCATGGAGTATGGATAAAAGCAGGATGAGTTGGGGAGAGGAAAAGTGTAGATGTGGACGTCTAGAAAGGTAAAGTGAATGGGAGGAAATGATGGGATAACCGGTTTTACTGAGCTACGTTGATCCTGTGCATTGTTCAAACTGCCTTCAAAAGTTGCCTCAACATTATATACAACTCGAATCTTTGCGTTGTTGAATGACGTCGTTTTCTGTCAAGGAGATGTTACTTCTGATTTGACAACTAGCAACACATAATATGTTGAATATATAATAGTGCACTGCCAGTATATTAGGGTGAAATATTAATAACATGCTAATTTTTCCAGTTGATATATCGTGGTCCAGGTGCCCAGCAGGCGGATCAGCGATCGGGGTGATGGTCCAGACTGTTGCTCGAATCGCATTTCTTGAATGCACCTGTTGTGATCTTCTTATGGTCCGTTCTCTTTTTACTTGTTTTCTTGAATGAGAATCCATTTAGCAGGATATTTCAGTCATTATAACTACTGTGTACTAGGAAGATGGGAGCGTGATCCTTTACATTAGCACTGTTTGCTAATTTATCATTGGAAGTGTCCACATCGGTAACACATGTACTTGACCCCGTGAATTGGGCTGCAGCATTTTGGGTGGTGATGATGGTGCCACAAGAAGAAGCAACAAAATGCATTCTTCAATGGAGACAATCACCTACGATGCAGCTGCACCAACAGTGCACTCTGAGCCACAGCCTGCAACTTG